AGAATGCCTTGTTCCATACAGCCTTGCCTAGCACAATGTCGCGTTATACTTTCTATTTTTCACCAATCTGAGAGGTGATGTTATCTCAGTATTGCTTCAACTTACAGTTCTCTAATCATGGGTGAGTTCTAACATAGGAATATTAACTCTTGTTCTATGATATATGCTATAAATATTTTCTTCTTGACAAGCATTTTTAAAATTTAATGTAGTCAAGTATATCAATCTTTAATTACCTCTGGATTTTTTTACTCATGTTTTCTATTAGAATTTGTATGGTTTCATTTTTTTTACATTTAGACCCTGCAGCCATTTGGAGTTTATTCTTGCAGACGGTGTGAAGTATGGATCTAATTTAAACTTTTTCCAAGTGACTTCCCAGTTGACTCAGCACCATGTATTAAAAAGTCTACTTTGCCCCGTGATTTGAGATTCTCACCTGCCTCCCCACTTAAACTCAGAGAAACATTTGACCCAAAAGCATGGTGTAGCATAAAAAGGTTAATGAGCCAGAGATTCCATTCGAAGATGTAAACTGAAAAATGATTGTGAACTAAAAATGACTAGGAGATTTAGGAAGGGAACAAAAATTGGAGAGGTCATGTTGCAACGGAAAAGCAAAGGAGCAAACCCAGGAAGCTGGATGGTGATGAGGCCAAATGGAGCCGAGTACCAAGCGGCTCATGAGGTGTAACAAGAGTCAGTCCCTGGAATTGCCTAGGCTCGTCTGCACCACTACAGCAAAGCTTTCCAACAGGAACAGCCCACCGCACACACTCCTGAAATCCCAAGATGTGGTCAATGAAAGTATACGCAGCCAAGGCAGAGGAGGAATTCTCAGCAAGTTAAAAATAAGTACAGTCATGCTCTGCATACTAATGGACTGTATATATGAAGCATAATGGAGCTGAAATTCCTATTGCTTAGTGACACCGTAGCTGTCATAACATCCTAGTGCCACGCATCACCATAAACATGTATTTTTACTGTACCTTTTCTAAGTTTAGATACACAAATGTTTACCATTGTTACAGTTTCTTACAGTATTCAATACAGTAACATGCTGCACAGGCTTATAGCCTAGGAGCAATAGGCTATCCCACGTAGCCTAGGTGTGTAGTAGGCTGTACCATTCAGGCTTGTGTCAGTGCACTCTGTGATGTTCACACGACGACGAAATCGCCTAACAACACATTTCTCAGAACGTATCCCCGTAAGTGTCACATGACTGTACTGCCATTCTAGGCTTCAAATGAGCCCTGAACTCAGGGCTGGTTCATGGGTCAGGAAGTTGTCATGGATGACAAGACAATGGACAAACCCAGGCACCTGACATGAGTCCATCTCTCTTCACTGAACCCCTGCCCCAGAGCAGCTGCTGGTGGGTCCAACTCTTTAGCATCTGCCACATTCACCCTCAGAATGCTCACAGCTCTGAGAAGCTGCTTCTACCGCCCCCAGCACTAGAAGGGCCTACTCTTTGGGTCTGACATCACGGATTCAGCCCTGTTGGGGAGAAACAGTGCCACAGGAATTGTCTCGAGACTGAAAGGATGAGACATGCATGTTCTTACATTTGAGGTCGCAAATTGGCTACCCTGAGCCAAATTTCCCCACTAACAAGTATGTTTGGCCCCTTCGGCCTGCTCAGTGTTTTAAAAAAATAATTACCTGCCAATATTTAAACATCCTTAGGTTTCATATAAAAGTCTGGATTCTGGCTTCTCTACGGAAAAGAAAATTGAGAATATTTGGCAAACTGGGCCCATAGCATTCTCACACGGGACTAACAGGCTCTACCTTAGACAGCAGCAGCCTTGACAAACAGCATGTGCCCTTTCCAACTCACCCCAGTCCCCAACATCCCTGATTATATCCCCAACTCGAGACTGGGCATTGGCTGCCTTGTATCAATGCATATGTGCTCTTATAAAGAGTAAAAAAAGAAGACACACATGTTCCTTGTCCTCGTCACTCATTTATGTCTCAGGCTGGGCCTCACAGGCACCTGAGTATGTAAACTATCTTAAACACATAGAGCATTCTTAACTCTCTCTCCCAGTGAAGCCCCCCACCACACGCTCTGCCTCTTTAGGATACACTGTGCCCCACTGTTAATTGGGAAAATCTAAAAGAGCACTAAATTAATCATAGAAGTTAATGGAGAAATAGACTGAGATCAACTACTTCAGGCCCTTCATTCCAAGTTGGGGGTTGGAGTAAAATGAAAACTGTTAATACTCTGACTTTTAAGTCAGTGACCAAAAAAATTTAATAAGGGAATCATAAAGAGCAAGCCTGGGTCAGTCTGAACTTGGGTTAACAAAAAACATTGGTCCTATTCCTTGACTGTTTGGAAAATGAGTTAAGCTATTAGAGAGAAAGCCACAGGGGTCAGGAGGAAAAGAAAGTGGCCAGCCCGGTCGATGTCCTGGGCTATTAAGAACCACCAAGCTTATCCTCCCTCAGGTTAGGGATGCTTGTCCATGCCTAAAATGCAGGTGACACAAAATGATTTTCGGCAAGGGTAGTGGCATCACTGTGGAAAGGGGCTTGAATGGGGAAAGAGAATCGAAATTTGGCCTTGGCAAATGCAAGACAGAGGAACGAGGATGCCTTCCTCACACCCCTTCATCCTGCTGTAGCTGGTGCCACATTATGTGTCAAGAGAGACTTCGATCTTGAAACAGCCCAGACGTTTCCTGCCGCTGCTTAGGATGTTCTGGATGCGGTAGTTCCCGGTACTGAGCCAGCTGGGCAGGTCCAGGTGGGGGAGGGTGATGACACTCTTGGGCAGTGAGTATGCGCCCTGTAGAAAAGCCAGTGGATCACAGGTCAGGGGGAGCCTACTGATGGGGCCCACCTCCCATTCTCCTAAGAGCCATAGGAGATTAGAGATCGTCATGCACTGCAGACCATGGAATGTTATAGCTAAAGGGCACTGGAAGTCACACTGAAGTTCAAGTCTCCCATTTCACAGATGGGTAAACTGAAGCCTCCAAAAGATAAGCCCCTCAGCATAGATCTCACCAGTTTACAGACATCCAGATCTGCAGGAGGAAAATGCAAGGATCCTTCTCTCTAAACCCCATGCCATTACTCAAGCCACAGGGATAATGCTCTCCCTCCCTAAGTACTTACTTCTTTGAAGGGACAGTGGCAGGGAAGCCCATAGGTATGCAGGGGCTCTGGGCAGGACGCTCCAGGAGGAACAAAACTGTCAAATATATTACATATGTCTTCATAGGTACAGCTACCGAGTTGTTCCAAACACGGGACTTTGACCCAGAAGCCAGCCATTTCCTTCTGCACAGTTAATTCCACCTGATGAGAAAGAGTTTGAAAACATGTAAATTCCAAGGCAAACATACCAGCTCCTCTGCCTCTTTAAAAGATCACCATTTCATTTCAATCAGAATTTTTAATTGGTTGGGACCTTAGAGATACTCTGATCCAGAAATGACAATATTGTGGTGTGTGCCCCCAAATTGTCCTTTCCTGTGCCAATGGCAGACATTAATTATCAAGTGTGATTTTTTTCGCCTTCTCTGAACCACAGGTCTTAGAATTCTTTAGGTAGTCATCACCCATTGGTTAAAGCTAACACTTGAGTTGAAATGCATTTGTCATCTAACTGCTAACTGGCTAACTATGGCATTGCTTCCTCCATTTCTCCAAAGCAACTACAAAAGGCAAACTTATAAAAGGACCTTTAACCTCATTAGGGATGCCATAGAAGACTGGAAACACATTTTTATAAAATGCTCATTGTCAACAAATATGTGGGAAAAGGCAAATCCATTGTTGCTGGTTAAGAGGATAAACAGGGTTCAAACATCTGGAGGCACTTTAGCAGTATGTATCAAGACCTAAAAAGTCTGTGTCAGAGAACAAGGGAAGTAGAAAAAGATGCATTACAAGAATAATTTCTGCAAAGGTGTTATAATAGCCAAAAAACAAACAAAAAACTGCCCTGGAAACAAACTCAATGTCCGACAATAGATTGTAAATCATGACAGAGCTACAACATAATATTTCTGTCATTAAAAATGATTAGGTACGCCTATGCCAAATGCCATAGAAAGAGATATGGAACATATTGTATGATATTAAAAAAAAAAAAGAAAAAAAAAAAAGAAAGTTTAATAGCACATCATAGTATCCCATTAGTATAAATTCATATATATTTACAAATGCAGACAAAAATCTGACAGGATATATACATAGCTAACAATGATTATTTTGTGAGGAGTTAGATTACAGGAGGACATTTACAAGGAGCACTACTTATTTTCACATATATCCATTAAAAATTAATATATATGTTACATGAGGGAACATTCCAAACACTAGCCTTTCAAAATGTTCAGTGCTTACCCCTTATCACCAAGTAATGAAATTTATTCGCCGCCCCTCCCCCCCCCGACTTTGACCACTTGAGTCTCCTAAAGTTGACTACAGATCACTTGCTAATTGATGTCTGTTTTATAACAAATAATGACACCACCACCAAAACCAAATTGCCTATCCAAAGCTGTCAGACAACAGTGAGCACTGTGCCACCCTGTCCAGGAGGCTGGAGCACCCCCTGCCACATGTGAGGAAATCAGTCATTTGTGTCCTCAGGAGGAAGCTTTGGGGGCTGACATCACATTCCTTCCAACTCTATGATACTGAGCCCCTATGAACGTGAGTACGAGTCTACAAATCCATGCGCTCTTTCCTGCTCTGAGATGCCAGTTCTTCACAGATCCCTGGGCATACATTCCTCAAGGCCCCTGCCAGCTGGCCCATGGCACCTTCCCTCCAAAACCTCACCAATCCCACCCACCCCAGGCTCACCTTCAGAGGAGCATTGAGGGTGACACTCGTCTGGGTCTTGGCACTGACAGTCACTTTTCCAAGATCTACAATGGGGTTAGGTTCCACAGTCAGGCTTTTGATCACCACAGGGTCCTTCCCCTCGTCACAGTTCTCCCAGGAAAAGCTACTGAACCGAAGTGGCTAGGGACAATCATGGCAGCAAGAAAAGAAGAGAAAAGTAAAGTTGACAAAAAAGAAATCTCACAGGTCAGAAGAATCAACAGAACAGGCTACTGACAGTGTGACCGTGGAGGAGGTACCTCACCTTTCTGAGCTTCATCTGTAACTGCACATTTGTAAACCTGGGATAACACTTGTCCTACCCATTTCATAGGCAGGACTAAAGTAAAATACTCGAAAGACATAATCTCTCAAAAGTGTGCTCAACTATAAAGCACAGTATACCAGACCTTGAACTTCAAAACTAACCATATTCACCTCTGGTAGATACCTTCTCTGATCTCCCACCTCCCTGCTCCCCACTCCTCTCCAGCCAGTCTTGGGATCTCCTTAGAGTGAAACTCCTGGAAGATTCCCCTTCGAAGTCCATGTCCAGGACCTTATTCCCATCACACATCCTGTTTCCCCCTCCCCGGTCCAGGGCCAGGGACAATGGGCAACACAAAACACAGCGGAAAACATAACAACATCCAAAACCTCACCCTTAGCGGGGTGTGCAACTAACCCAGGAAGGGAATAGGACACACATGAAAAGATCCCAGTGGGCCACTTGTTGATGAACAATCCCAGTGAACGAACTCCCCCAATGCTAACCAGTGCTTTCTTACTCCCATCCCACGGCTAATGCTCTGCCCCCACCCGAGTCTCCCTCCTCCCCTCTGCTTCCTGAAGCCACTGCTCTCTATCTTGGGCATCCCCAGAGGTCTCCTGATTCCACATGACCCCTGACTCGCCACTCCCACAGAACCTTGCTCGTCTACAATCTTTTAAACTTCCTACGCTTTGCAGACTCTGCCTACCTGCTCGCACCTTTTCCAGCCCCCCGAAGGCCACCTCTGAGACACATCACTCCCACCATCTGCCGGTCTCACCCCCTAAGCTGATCCCCATCGTCAACACACCCACATCCGACTGGGCCAAAAGGGAACACTTAACCCAAGCTGGTTAGGTGACAGATTCTCTCTGACTCTCAACTGGGAATTGAGATGGAGGCAAAATTACTCAGAGGACTTTGGGCTTTGTACTGTCAGTGGGTCATAGTTTTGGGATGAGACGAGAACTCCTGGATCCATAACCTATGACCAAGACAAAGGGACAAGAACTAAGGGGCTCTACTGGTCTCTGGAAAAGAGAACAGACAGAGTCACCTCCCCTCTCCCCACTCCTACTACACAGGCAGTAAAAGGCATGGCTTTGGAATGAGACATAGGGTAAATCAAGGCTTTAGTCAACAGACATGGGTTGAAATCACAGCTCGGTCACCATATCATGTGATTATATAGGCCGGTTTCCTCTTTGGAGCCCTGATTTCCACATCTTTTAAGTGAAGGCATTTATACTTTCCTCTCAGGGCTGTTGCAAGGGTGACAGCATGTATGTGAAGGTCATAACACAATGCCAGATCCAAAGCATGAGCTGGCTCACTAAATGACAGCCATTAGACATCCCAGCCTCTACTACCTGCCACTAGTTCCATGAGATTCCACTGACAAGGCAGTAGAATCAGGAGCTTCTTGGAATGGGTTTCTGTCCCTTGGAAGGAAACATCATGCCATGACTAAGAAAGGCAGGACAGAGTCTGATTCATCCCTGTATTCCCCATGGTGCATCCTTCAACATTCATTGTACAAATATTTATGGAGTAATGATCACAAGCTGTGGGCTAACTGCCGTGTTAATAGTGGTAAACAATGTCCTGTCTTGAGGAGCTTAGTTTCATGTGAATAAATATTACCCACTCTGATTTCTGAGTGCCACCAGTGCATGCTGACTACCCAAACAATTACAATTGTGAAGGGGAATACGAGGTTGTTTCCTGATGCCTGACTAAAGGCTTCCGTGGCAATGAATTCTGCATCCAGAAAAGGAGGAATGATGGATTAGCAATGCCCACCAAGGGCCAGGCCTGGCATCAGATACTGGCCATCCCAGCATGCAGGAAGAGGCAACATGGGTCAACATAGCGCAGAGCTCTGGAGGAAGAAATATGGGGTCAAATCAGACCTCAGCCGCTCTTACTAGCTGAGACCATGGCTAAGCAAACCCCTCTTGATTTCAATTTCCTCATCTATCAAATGGGCATAGTTATATCTTGGCGCAGGGATACTGTGAAAGGAGAAGTTTGTAAACAGAACACACAGGTCACAAATCCTCAAGCCCATGAAAACACTGGACTAAAAAACTGTCACAGACCAGAGGAGACTGGGGAGACATGACCACAAATGTAATGCGGTACCTGGATTAGATCTTTAAACAGAAAGAGGTCATTCTTGGAAAAACTAGGAAAATCCAAATAATGTCTAGTGTTTCATTAATGGTAATGTCCCAATATTGGTTTTTCAGTTTTGACAAGTGCACCGCAGTAAATAAGATGTTAACATTAGGGGAAACTGGGCGAGGAGTATGTGGGATCCCTGCACTAGCAATGCGACTTCGCTGTAAATCTAAAATTATTTCCTCAAAAGAAGTATATTAGGAAAAAAGCACATGGTCTAACTCACAGCACATAGTATGTGCACTATAATAACACTCATTATACATTATCACTGAGTCTGTATGCCCAGCACAAGGCTAGACATTCTCCCCTGTTATCCAATGCTTACCACAGCCCAGCATCTGGTTAGTGCTAGAAGAGGAACTGGAACTCACAATTCCAGATGTTCAAACACTGACCATCACCCCACAGCCTTCATCTGTGATCTCAGGGTCAGGGCTTTAAACCACATGAGCCCAGAGAACATGTGGATCAGAGCAGATAAGGATCGAAAGCGCCACTTGCTGTGTAATCTTGGGTGAGTCTCCTCTCCTCCCCTCCTCTGTGAGCCTGAGTGAGGTGGGTGAACTCTATGATGTCTCAAGGCCTCTCCAAAACTGCCAATCTAACACCCTCTGGCATGGCCTGGAATGGCCACAAATCCACAGCCAAGACATACAGAAGAATGGAGATGTAGGGCAAGCTCCAGCTTTAGCCGAACTCCACCTCATATCCACTTCATAGCAGTCAGACCTGGAGCCAAGAGAAACATTCCCAACCTACGCTCAGGGACAAACTGAATCCTCTAGAAAAAAATAAGGCCAAAGGTCCTTGCTTCTTCATTCAATAGATAAAACAGACTCCTTGCCCCTGGGTAGGGTGAGGCTGAGTCCACTGGCTTATATCACTTTAAAATTTTAGAGCTTTACCATCCATAAGAGCATTTCCTTTCACCCGAAATCCACGAGAAAGGCAGGTTGGCATCATCACATGCATCTTACAGATGAAGGGGCTAAGGTTCAAAGAGCCCAAAGGCCATGCCCATGGATTAGAGACAGAGACAGGATCAGAAGGCAAGCCTCCCAGCTCTCAGTCCTATTCCACTTTCCTCTACACCGCACTGTTCCTTGCTCCCAAATACTTCCAAGGTGGTTGGAAGAAGGGGATCTAAGCTGGGCCTCGCTCTTTGCTGCCAGAGATACAAAGTGTCTTGCCTGCAGCTATGTAGCAAAGAGGCAATGGAACTAGGCTTTTCTAGGTCTCATAATGATGGACCTTCCCTCTCCTAAGGGTCTGGAGCTTGAAGTAAATGAGAAATGAAAGGGGCAAGCTTGGAGGTAGGTGCCTCTCCGTGGCTCACAACCAAAAGCCGAACTTGATCTTTGCCACCAGAGGAACAAGTCTGGATCTTCTGGCTCAGAGGGCCTTTCAAACCCATCCAACCATCAGAATAAGCGGAGCCACAGAGCAGTACATAGAGGGAAGGGATGACTGCCAGGCCTCTTTATGGTGGGGACGGGGTTGACAGGTAAACAGGACTGTGTCTCTGGGCCTGGGAGCAGCGCTTTAGTCTTCCGGTTCCACAAAATTTCATTCAGAGGGCAGAATACATTGAGTGAGGTTAAACATTCCAAAGAAGTCTAGAGCTGAGCAAGCCTTATAGACCACCCTCGCTGTACAGATGGGTGAAGGGATTCAGAATAGGACCCTCCTAGGTTTGCCACTTTTGCATGTTTCATATATACGTAATTAAATTTGCTTATTTTCACTTATTAATCTATCTCCTATCAATTTGATTATTAGACCAAGCCACAGAACCTGGAAAGTAAGAGGAAAGCTTCTTCCTCCCCCACATGGGAAACAAACTACTCGAAAGAAAAAGACCCACTCAGAGTCCCACGGTTAGTGACTCTGGAAGGGTCTGCAGCAGAGAAGGAATTCTAGAGATGGCAATAGCCACTCGCAATATCCCCTCCCCATTCATACCACCCCAGCTGGGCCACAAAGCTGAAAGCAGCATCCTAAAAGCGCTACACTCACCTGTTTCTTTAAGATCCTTCCAAAGGCCTCAGAGCCAGCGAAAAGCAAGCCCAGGGCCATCAGGAGGGGAGCCCGCATTAAGGGCATCATTCCAAAAGGTCGGTCTGCGTGAAAATAACCACAAGGTCTGGGGCCTGAGGCAGGCGGTGCCTTTAAATGCCTGCGTGCCTTGGTTATGCAAAGCTCTACATTGTTATGCAAAGCTAAGCGCCAAAGCTTCAGATTCGCCTCGCCCCGCCGCGCCAGGATCTGGGATTTCAACAAGAGGGATCAAAACAGATGTCGGCGTAGGCTCCTCCTTGAGCCCCTCCCACCAGTGTGGGCGTCAAAGCCCCACGCTCTGTGGGGAGAAGGCTGAGCCGGAAGAAAAAAGAGGCGGGGCTGAGTGCAGGGGCGGGGCGAAGCCGAGAGCTGCAGACAGAGGCGGGGAGAGAAGGGCGGAGCCGGAGCAAGAGGGAGGGGCGGAGCTGTGGTTTCTGACCTCGCTCTATGATGGTCACTGCCCCAAGGACATTTGTTTTCACACCCAAGTCCTTCTTGACAAAAATGTCATTCTTCCTGTCAATATTATGCGTCCCCATATTTGTGTTACGAATCACTGTCTTTTTAATAATTGTTATCATCATTATGATAGTAACTAACATTTAGTAAGTCTTTTAATGCGTGCTATGCTCTGTTAAGCACTTTAAAGGGAATCAATTTTTGCCCTATCTTATCTCTGAGGAAACCTATACACGGTGAAGTTAGCTTTGCCAACGTCACACAACTAGAAAGCGATAGAGCAAGGATTCTGCTTATAAACGCCATAAGACAAGATTTGGTTAAACTACATTTCGTAGTTGAGATTTGCTTCTTCAAGAAGCAAAGGGATATTATTCCTGCCAAATTATCACTAGATTGTAAACCCCACAAGGGATGGGACCATTCCTTTTGGTCACTGATGTGTACCCAGTGCTTGACACATAACCATCAATCTTTGTTGAGTAAATGAACGTATGAGTAGAATCTGAAACCTACCTAATCATCTTTTAAAAAATTTTTTGAAATTAATTTTAGATTTAAAGAAAAGTTGCGAAAATAGTACTGAGCGATCTCTCAGTGTCTCCCATTGTTAATAGTAAGCTAGAGTATTTTTATAAAATCTAAGAAACTGGCATTGGTACATTACTATTAAGTAAGCTGCAAACTTTACCTGATCTTTTCATATGCTTTTTAAATTGCGCATCTTGCTCCCAATGACATAAGCTCTTCGCTCTCTTATCTAGCACAACCTCTTCATTATACACAAGTGCAATTTGAGGCCCCACCAGGAAGAGGAGTTGCCCAATGTCACAGAGCAGAAGTGAAACTAGAACTTCCTTTTCCTGAGGCTGACCTCACAGTAGTATGAGAGATGTCCAGTGGCTGTGCTTCTTGGTGGATGTGTGGGTGGTGGGTGGGGGGACTGGATGCCAACACTGGTAAGCCCTGGAGCCTCATTGGGAAATAGGAAGGAGACTGCACAGCCTCCCCTCCCCGCCTCATTCTTTTTCATCTTTGCACCTGCCAAGGCCCCTCCACCCTATTACCCACTTTCCCCTGACTCCTAAAAACTCCATTCTCTCAGCCTCAGGCACACTCCTTCACACGAGAAGCCAGTGATCTTGGGCAATAAAAGGTTAATGCTTCCTTTACTGTCCAAGCAACCTTGGAGGATCTCTCAATGAGTGGGCACATTCCTTGGAGATTAAAGTATCTGACATCTCCATCTGAAGGGCTTTGGAGGAGATTCTGGAAAGCCACAGATAGTAACTGAAAACCAACACCTAACCAAGATGGAAGTGAGGACAGGACAGTGGCTCCAAGTCAGGCAGAGTCAGGTTTACATCCTGTGAGAGCCTGGGGAGGGGCCCAAACATCTCTGGCCTCAGTTTCCTCAAATGCAAAACAAGGATTAAAATAATGATAATAATAAACAACTACCTCCCAGTACTAAGCTGTTCATTCATTCGATAAATACTTATAGATTCAATGGTTGAATAAGATAAATTCCTATCCACACCCCTATATCCCACCCCCACCCCCAAAAAGACTAGGGTTTGTTTAAGAAGAGCAGTCAGTAAGTAAAGAAATAAATAAGATATTATCCAAGAGTACTAATACCAGAAGATAAGAAATCAGGTTAAACTAATTCAAAGTACACTGGGTTTCCATCTTGAGTCTAATAAGAACTCTCTCAGGACATAGATTTTGACCATCCTTGGGAGAAATGAGAAACATTTTGGGTAAGAGCCAATGTGAAATTTAAACATGGTCAAGAACATCGGGCATGGTTCCCAGCAAGGGCTGTACACTGTAGTCCACTAGGGAGATTTTTAAAATGCCGATCCCCAGGTTCTACTCTAGACCAATTACATCTAAATCTCTGGAGGTAGGACCTAAGCATCAGTTTTGTTAGTTTTGTTTTTTTAATCCCGGGTGATTAAAATTGTGCAACCAAGGTTGACATCCAGTGATATACACATCTGGCATTCAATAGGTGCACACATACATAAAAATGACAATTATTAAAACAAGGCCCTTGTGCTTGAAAAACCCACATTCTAGGAGGGATGGGTTGGAAATACGTAAATTGTTATCACTCTAATGTTCATCATCATGGGCTTCCTAGCGGACTCACTGGGCTTAGGCCCTGGAATAACGTGGGCAAGGATGACCTGCCTAGCAGCCATGCTTGAGTGTGGTGGGAGTGGGTATTGTTCGAGACCTGCATGTGTGTAAAGGCTGGTATGGTAAGCACCTCGAATGTAATGAGGAGTGATTACCACCTCAGATGCGCATGAAGCAGGCACGTGGGTCAGATGTAGCGGTCACAGACAAGCAACTGTGGGGCAGGATGAAACTTCCCTCTGCCTTCTAAGTTCTTTTGTCAGGTCTAATAATCGAACAGACATGAGACAGATTAATAAGAGAAAACAACCAAATTGAATTACATACATACGTGTGGAATCCCTGAAAATATGAGTCAGAGATCGCACATATGTGAGAGGCTCAGGGACAGAAAAGAAATATGAGGAAAGTAGGACATTTTGAGCTCAGGAGAAAGTCAGGTGCCTGGGGCTTCTGAGGACAAGAAGAGTGGATGTTGAGTAATTAGGTGTTTGCCCTGCCCTATAGAGAGGTCATAAAAAGTTATTTCTGGTGATAACTCTTATTATGCGCAAGGCCTTAAATTTAAATTCTTTAAGGGAGAGATGAAAATTTCTCATGAGCCTGCAGGACCTCAATTGCCTTCAGCTCAAAATAATCCACATGCCAAAGCAGCACATCTTTGGGACGCCTGTTCTGAACCCATTTCAAGGTGATGCGGTGGAGGCATGAAAACATTTCGTTACTGCCTGGTCTCCATGGGGTTTCAACCCAAAAATAGTCTGGACATCTGGTTTTAAATCTTGGCTATTCTGCCCAGCTAGCTCAATTGATAGAGCATAAGACTCTTAAATCTTGGCTATTCTTTTTATTATAGGGTAATTTTCAAAAAGAAATGTTAAAAAACAAAACGCAACCGAGTAAATGTGAAGATCTAATGACTTTATGGCAGCATCCCATCTAGCTCTCAGAAGGACTCTCTGTGAAGTTGTACCAAATGACAGGCTTTTATAGGAAGAAGGGTGGCACAAGAAAGCCATTAACAAAAGTGAAGGATATTTTTTAGACCAAGAAGACATCTTCTTTTGTGGGGAAGGGAATGGCAAGGATTTTTTTATCATGCAGATTGCCTCTTTGGTCTATGGGGGATGGAGAGGGCCCATGTGACTGATGACTGATTCTTGACCAAAAAATTCCAGACTGATTAAGATTATATTTCCAGGAAAGGCTGAAACAACAATTAGGTCAGATATTAAATCTAAGTTTGGTATCATGGGCTTTAGTACAAGTGATGCCATTTGGGATCTGTGGTTTTCTTTTTAACTGAAGGCAAAATTATAACTCTCATAGATATAAAATGAGCATGCGTTAGAGATTTAATTTAACCCCTTTAATGAGGGAATCTGTGAGATGTTACAACCAATATAAAGAAGACTCCAAAGAACAAGCACATTTATACGTCAGGAATATTGAGATAAATATGCAAATGGAGACAAAACTGGCCTTTTCCATACTAAGGGAGGGAAGTCAATTTAACCTCCACAGGACAAAAAATTACATGTATACAGGCAAATATTATTTTCCATTCTTATGTATTACCTACAACTTTAGAGGCAATGAAAAGCACACAGCCCATTATAGAATCAGAAGCAGATTATGTGGAAGAATATGCTCTAGATAATGAACAGTTTTCCATTGAAGCTGTTATCAAAAAGAAACAATGGCCAAAATGGAGTGTCACTTTTGCTAAGCTGTGTCGCCAAACTAAAGCTTAACAACTAACCTGATTGCAGTTTCAGCCTCTTTCAGAAGTATAATTTCAGAACTTTTATCTATCTATTTATTTGTTCGTTTGTTTGTTTATCTATCTATCTATTTATTTATTTATTTATTTTAGGCAAGGCAACCCTTGGTTGACCTCACAGATTGCAAGGACCTTGTCAGTTTACAATCCTTTATTTTTTACACCTACAGCACCTGGTCTTCCTAGGTGGTCTCCCATCCAAATACTAACCAGGCCCGACCCCGTTTAGCTTCTGAGATCAGACGGGATCGGGCTTGTTCAGGGTGGCATGGCCATAGACCAGAAGTAGAATTTTATATTCCCATTTTAGAGAGCAAGAAATTGAAGCCCAAGGCCACCCAGCAGAAGTAGGATGAGGACCCAGGTTTCTGGTCTCCCAGCTCAGGACCGCATCCCTGGGCATAATTGCAGAGCTACCAGGAGCACCCACTCCCTTCTCACCTTACCTGTCTGAAACCTGAGAGCACCTGGAGGCCTCACAATGCTCTGGGGTGCAGGAGCTGGACTGGTCTGGCAAGACAAACAGGGCTGGGGAAGGTGCCTCAGGAGCAGCCTTCCTGCACCAGCCTCAGTCTGAGGGCCAAGGGTGAGAGGCCCCTGTACATTCTGGCATCACTTTGATTCCTAAAGATTTTCATCTCATTAGAGCCTTTGCCTAGAGCTGCAATTTTCATTGTTGGGTATGCACTGGAATCACCTAGGCAGCTTTAAACAAATCACCTAGTAGTCTAGGTCAAGGCTGAACCCCTGGGTGGGACAGGTTACCACACCAGCACTTAAAGTCCCTTAGATGATTCCAAGCTGCAGCCAAAATAAGGAACCACTGGTCTAAAGCAGCTTTTATC